CGTGGCGCCCATCGAATTCGACCACCTCTTCCAATCCACCTTTGAGGAAACTGACGATCCAAATATTGTCGTACATCAACGGCGAAATGTGGAGGAGCTATCTTTCTATAAAAAAAAACAATTTAATTGCTTGTATTGAATAGGAGATATCAATGAAAACTTTCCATACGGACTTTCGGGACACCCTGTATAATAGCAACAGAAAGAAACATTCATTTAATTCAACCAAACTTCGATCAAATGTGTACCATCGTGTATAGTTAGGTTTTATTATCGAATTATCATTTCATGTACAACCAAGCGAACAAAAATCTTTGATTGAGTTAATAAATTTCAAAGTACGATGCCACGCTGAAGCAGTTAATCGTGTACTCAAGACACGCTTTTCGGAAGATGTTAATCTTAATTTTGTACGAGGATCGTTTATTTTCAAGAATCCTTCAACACAACCCTAATAATAATTCTTAGATGTAGAGAATACATGTACAGCTAGTAACCGAATGGACGAGTCGCATTTAGTTTGCCGACAGAAACTTGGAAAATACCATATTAAAACACTATTCTAAAATTGAAAAGGGTGATAAAACAATGTATATAGAGATCATGACGTCAGATGTATATGCAGTATAAAAGAAACAAGATGCGCAGGAGAGAAACAGAATCTAAGATGACATTTATAGAGTAATATAAGAAAAATTTCATAACTGAGATATTCCTCGGAGTTTTGCAATTCGTTTACTTACGTATATGGCAAATCGTTTTCTGAAATAAAATCAGATATTGGTTTTATATTAGTTGAACGAAGTATTCCGCTCACAAGGTGTGCTGGTGGAATAAGTTGCATTTTAATAAGGGCTTCAAATATGAATAATAGAAATGATTCAGACAACAGTGCTGAGTTGATTAAAGCTACAAAAGGCTAGCTCAAAATAAATATCGATGGATACTTATATATCAAATATAAAATTCGCGATAGTTTGTATTATTGGATTTGTGAACACAAGGGGCAGAGAGAAAGGAAATGATCTGCGACAGCTGTTGCAGTTTGTGTTGGAATACAAAACAAGATTGACAAATTTGATGCTAACACCAGCATAATCATGCTGCAGAAGCAAGCAACTTCTCATGTTTAAAAGCACACAATCAGATGAAAGAGCTTGCTCGAATTAATAAGGTTATTGTTACAGCATCACGTGATATACAACGATGTTTACCTGGAAAAGATGCATTACGATAACAAGCCAAAAGAGCAAAACGTCTATGTGATGAAGAAGCGGAACCAAAATCTCTAAATGATGTTGTATTACTAACTAAATATTCGGTTATTTTAAGCGGAATACCTTTTGTCAAAGACATGTCTCATGGAAATGAAAGAATTTTAATTTTCACAACGATTGAAAATCTTAAATGTTTGCAAAATGCAAAACTTTGCATCATAGACAGTAGATTTAATACAGGTCCACCTTTATTTCGTCAATTATATAGCATTCCTGCACGGATTGGTGGAGTTGTTAATTTCAAATTTTTCCTCTTATTTACGCATTAATGACTCATAAAAGTGAAGAATTATACAAGAAACTGTTTCAAACGCTTGATGAATTGACGAATGAAAATGAATTAACAACGAAGCCAGAATTTGTTTTAACTGATTTTGAGAAGGATTCAATTAATGGAATAAAATTAGAATTTTCAGGTGCTCAATGTAAAGGCAGTCACTTTCATCTGGGTCAGTCGGTATATATACACCGATTCAAAACGCAGAACTAGTAAAAATGTATGAAAATTATGAAAATTTTAGTCTGCATACAAGACATATTGCAGCTTTGACATTTTTTAATCTTGCAGAAATTCTCGATGCATTCGATAGGACCCAAGATTTACTACCACGTGATCCTGAACCAATCATTGAATGATTTGAAGATAATTATGTACGCGGCAAAATCAAAAGGCTAATGAGAAATGGATTAGATCAAAGGCATAAGCCGCTGTTTCTCCCTGCAATGTGGTCTGTTTTCTCATAATATGGAATTTGCATCTTCACGAACTCAAAATAAAGTTGAAGCTCGGGATAGACGTTGGGAAACATTCGCTCGATCTCACGTTGATATTTTTACAATCATTAAACAGATTAAAAAAAAATGTAGTGGAAATGGAGATTGAAAGATCAAGGCGTGCTGAACCAGGTCCAAAGAAACGCAGAGAAGACGAAATCAGGAAAGTGAAGATTCATAATGTTATTGCTGATCGTTATAATAGAACAGCTATCAATCTTCTTCGGGGTATCGCACATAATTTTCTTTTTTAAATGTTTGTAATTTTTATTTGAAAGAAGTTCAAGAAGTTACAAGATATAAATTAAATAAGCTATGGTCAACTATATGTATTATCGATTCTTATACGAGTACTTGCACTGTATTCTGGATAATCTAATTTATTATGATGCCTATATTGTACTTTCGAATCTGCTCATTTTGTGTACTGAGATATTCTCAAACTGAAAGCGATAAAACAATTCGAAAATTGTACCTGTCGGCAAACTGTACCGGACCTATTCACAAGGCCTATTCTTATAGCAAAATTCTTTTTTTCATAGAACAACGGTGAAGACATATTCATTATCCATTTTATCAGTCTCTTCAAATGATCAGGAAATCTGAGAAATCTTCAGTGCTCAAAACAAACTTCCTATGAAATGAGTTATATAACTGGAATGATGATATCAAATGAAGTTTATCAAATATCTGCTAGTGACGAGTGAGATAACTATCAAGATGATATTCGTACATCAATATCGTTTTTACTTTTCAAAAATCATCACTATTGTCCAATGTGCGATCAACAGTACTAGTGCATCTTATATTGTAAATCTATTATCAAGACATCAAATATAGTTGATTTTTAACCTAAGTAATAAATTTCCAAGTATATTAGATTATAATCGGCTTTTATTTGTTATGAATTCAGTAAAAGATTAAAATATTATAATTACACAGAATCTGTTAGTACTGTAGTTCTTTAATTATTAAACTATATTCGTGATATTTTGTTTATTTTAACATAAACAAGAATATGACCGAAGAAGTGGAAACAAATTTGATAATTTTTCTGACTTTTCATGTTTTTAATAATATTTGGTGTTATAATAACAACACTTAACAACGATGTACAGACAACACAAAATCAAATCAAAACAGTATTTTAGAAAGAAAAGTCATCAATTAAATGTTTCTTGATAAAATATTAGTCGTGGTAAATAGCTGTCTGTTGCTCTGTTTTTGAGAAAATAATTTGACGAGTTCAGAACGAAACAATTTGCTCGATATGGTGAAAAAATAAAAACCCAAACAGGGAACCATAAAAGAAACGAAACCAGAAATAATTGTAAATGCACTATCCTTAGCTGATTGAAGGTCATCAATGATAATATTTGCCCGAACCGATGTATAAATGTATTGTATCGAGGGAAGACTTGCTGTTAAAATGAATATCGTGCATTGACCCAACATCATTTGTATGAGTTGACGATCTGTTCTTTTTTGACGTTGTTGATTTCGAAGTGAAATTGAATTATGATTTGCTCCAGTACGTCGGATGGATTGTCGAATATTCAGTATAGTACGAAAACCAAAATAAAGCATAACAATTGGTGGACCCACACTATATGTCATTAAATTCCATATACCAATAAACCTTAGATAAATGCCCGGTGATGCAACACATAGTTGTTTAGGATTAATATAATAAAAGACGGGTATATGAGCAAAAGTGAGGATAACAATTAAAATAGTAAACGGAATGACATAAGATGCAGTACGAAGAGAGCTAAAAGCACGTAACTTGGTAGAAGATGAACTACAGAGAAATCTACAAAAATGACAATAACAATTACATTCATATTCGTCGACAAAAAAACTATTATTTGCTCACCTATCAACACAAGTTAAAGCAATGAACCATCCGTATTGTGAACTGTAAAAAATATAAAGACTTCATTGATGTATTATAAGCAAATATACATTTTAATACCTAGGCCACATTACTATTAATGTAAGAATTCTGCATGCTGTTGATGAACTTGTAAAAGCATTGATAGAATATCCAATCGATAACAATCGCAAAGGAGTGGTAATGGTAACAACAGAAATACCACTGATTGTTGCTGCTAAAAAATACCATGAACATGGATTTGAACGAAATGTAGACCGTGTAAACACATAAATGTTTCCTGCGTGACCGATGGTACCAAAACTTATCATTAAATAAGACCAAACTCGTATGAATACAATGGTATTTTGTCTAATAATCATAGCTTCTGTGATGCTTGTATTTGTTGATGACATTTTGCTAAAGAATGGTATCTAACAAAATATGGAAATTATGTTGAAAAGATATTTTTCCCCAGGACAGTGATTCTGGAAACAGTATTTCACTAATATCCGACGAAAACCTGCAGGAAATCTGTTGTTTTCCGGTTGGAAACGCCCGAGAAATACTCAGAACCCAGCAGAAAAAAAGCCTGTGACTGTATCCGACTGTCGTTTATGGCAGGTTCCGATCGGTTCCAGGTGAAACTCGCTAAATCCAGTCACCGGATCCGTTCTAAGGAATACTCTGGAATCGGTCGGATCTGGACCGAATTCTTCGACCTGGGTTGTAACTTTCCAGACTGAGAAGCTTATGGGAAAAATGCGAATAATAAGAAATAAGTCTATAGCGTCCTCGCACTAATTTTATAATCACGTTTGAACTAAAGATTCAAGCTATTAATATTAATTTTGCGAGAAAGTTTTTATTCTTCTTTTTTAATTTCAAAGATATAATTAGCTTCCAGTACTGTATGTCCGATTGTTAAGCCTACAGATAGTAATAACGCATACATGGCTAAAAGCTGAAGGTTTCCTTGCAATTAGAAAAAAGGAATAAAGTTCTGCAAAAGAAAACGACAAAAGATTCCTCCTATTTTGATAAAATGTGTTTGTTGATAAGAATAATATATTTTATCTTAAAGAATTTATATTAGTAAGATGAAAAATTAATGTTTTAATAAGCAAATGTACGAACATAATCAGCTAAACATCTTTAGAAATTATCCTTTCAAAAATGCTGACTCTATAATACTCTTAGTTGATTATGATTTATGACGGAATGAAAAAAAGAGATTATTTTGTCATATTTTCATCAAACTTTTTAACTTTTTAATATCGGTTATAGGGATTCATATACTTTCATTTTCTTCAAAAAAGAACTGTTCGATTAATTGCATTTATAGACAATACCGTTTCGAACATTTTATTAACTCTGAACGAAACCGGAATCTGAATAGATCCAATTACTTTCTAAAGAACATTCATGTTTTTTTTTCAAATTATAATTTATTTTAAGGTCAACTTTTCAAAAGCTTCGGTTAGAATTTGCAACTTATTCAGTTTCTAATATAACTTGTCGTTGCAAAATGAGAATGTAGATAGAATTAATACCGATGGTCTACATACATTTACAAATCATCATTTTCATTTGATACGTAACATTTCTTGCATATTCATCGAGACTTCAACGTATAAGTAATGTATATAAAGTAATTGTATTCATAATAGATATAAACAGCGATATAAGTAATTACCATTTTACATTCCTTTTTCACAAAGGTTTTGAACGTAGGTTGTCATTTTTTGATTTGATGTGTTATAGCGTTTTCCGGGAAATTGGGAAATTCTAACTAAAGCACGAAACCAACTTTCGATGTATAATGTTCCCCACAGCTATGCCCGATATTTTCACCTTGGCTTTCCCTCAGAAACCAGGCAACTCATCGCTACTTACATGATAACCCC